GAGTGGGGGGCATGGAGGGGACTAGAGTGGGGGGCATGGAGGGGACGGAAGTGGGGGGCATGGAGGGGACGGAAGTGGGGAGCATGGAGGGGACTGAAGTGGGGAGCATGAGAAGGGATTGTGAGGGGCATTCGGGGGAGGATTGAGGGGAGGACTCGAGAGAGGTCACATCAAGGGAGGAGGGGGCCTGACAGGGGGCCGTGAGGAATGAACCATGAGGGGGACTGAGTCAGAGCGGGGGGCGGAGCCAGGGGACTCCAGGGGCACCTGTGACGGGAGCATTCCCAGGAACCCAGCACCGAGCCTGCGAGAAGAGAGGGAGTGGGAAGCCACAGTCACCTCGTGCTGGTGTCCAGCGCCGTTGAAGGCCGGGGCGGCGTGCTCCAGCCAGATGGGGGCCCCGCCGTGTACGATCTGCTCCCGCAGCCACACAAGGCTGATGAAGGCGCACAGCGTGCAGGTGACCACGAAGCAGCCTTGCAGGCAGTCGGCCAGCAGGTTCTCCCTGGCAGAGGACGTACGCGAGTCACGGCGTGGGCCTGCGGCCTCTGGCGTGAGGTTTGTGCACAAACAGACTCCTGATGACGGCCATTCTGGGCGGGGAGCTGACCAGGAGCCCACCAGAGCTGGCTTGGTGCCACTGGCACTCACAGGAACAGCTGTGCACAGCCCTCACCCTAGTGTACAGCAGGGCGGTTGGCCCGGCAGCTCCAGCCAGCCCCAGGCGTATGGGCCCTACACATGGTGCCAGAGAATCAACTGGGACCCAGGAGGGGACACAGCGCCAAGGAGGGAGACCTCAGGAGAAAGCAGAACTAGCACTATGGGGGCCAGAGCCCTCGACCTGCGCAGAGCCACCCCTGCCTCAAGTCCACGCCCACAGGTGCCGGGATGGGTGTCGCCCAGGGAAAGCACAGCGGGTGCTGTCTGCACTGTGACCGGGCCTCTCCCTGGCTCTGAAGCCCTGTACCATGTGGGCTGCTGGTTCCAGAGGCCTGCCTCCAGCCCTGGCCACCTCAAACACTGTCTGCACATGGTGGGCTCCCCAGGGGGCAGCCTCTTAGCCCCAGCATGGCGGCCAGAATTCCACCACCAGCCGCCAATGGTAGGTGGTTTCATGAAATAGCACTGAACAGAAACACAGCCCGGGGACCTTTTCCAGGTGGTTGAGGGCTGTGGACTGTACGCACGCAGAGATGTTCAAAGGCAACACTGGACCAGGAGGCACAAGGCTGCTCCAGACCAAGGGACCAGCCCACACTTCTCCCTCCCTCCCCTCAGCTTCTAACACACTTCTGCCTGGACACTGGAGGGTCTGAGAGGTGCGCCCCACTGGTCACAGCCAGGCGTCAGCTCAACCGTCAGCTCTGACTTCTGCTGCTGTGGGAAGCCTGCTCCAGGCGGGCAGACTGAGAGTCCACACCACAAAGAGCGTGGTCTCACTTGCCAGACACAAACTGCTTGGCAGGGGTCTCCACTTTCACTGGGGGCTCTCTCCTCACACGATTTTAAACCTTCCGAGTGCGTCAGTAGACAAGTCTCCTTTCTGCCTTGGCCTGTCCACTAACCTCTGCTGTCAAGAATGAATTCCAAACACTGCCGTAACAAAACCTAAACACAGTTCTGTCAAGAGGGTTCAGATCCAAAACCCTTCTATTAGGGGCCCTCCAAACTGGCAAGGAAGCAGAGATAAAGCAAGCAGTCTGTGTGCCTCCGGAGGCAGGCGAGGCCAGCGCAGTACCCTCTGCCAGGACTAGAGCCACCTTGCCGGAGACGAGGACTGAGAAGTCCCCGCGTCCTGACTTGGCTCTGAGCAGGACAGAGTCTTGCACCATTTTATCTACAGCCCAGGATGCTCCCTGACATGGGACCGGAGAAGACGGCAGGAGTGGGCAGGCCAGCTGGACAGTGGGCAGTGTGAGCTGGCCAACACTGCCTCCACCATGATGCCAGTGCATGTGTGAGGCCAGGCCAGGTTAAGGAAGAGTGCAGCAAACGTTTTCAAAATCACGAGAAACAATCTAAAGACACTTTAAAAGAAATCTGAGTTCATGTGCACGTTGTTAAAAACCCCACCTAGCTGGCGAGGGAGCACCCTGCACGCAGTGGGTTGTCAGATGTCCACCTGGCCCAAGAGCATGAGTGCGTCCTCCCACCACAAGTGTCTCGCACAGGCCGCAGGCCACATGTGCACCGGCATCCTGCATAGCAGCAGAATCACTCCCACAGACGCGTGCTCATGTCTGTCCTCTGAGCTGGAGGGTGTGGGATTCGCGCAAAGCCCAAGGTATGGCCACCCCGTCACTAAGCAGGGCCCCGGCTCCAGGTGTACTCACGTCGACAGCATGTCCAGTGGCAGGGTCAGGAGCGAGCTCACAGAGCCAGTAAACAAGCACTTGTAGATGCGGCCTGCAAGAGAGGGGGGCAGACAGTCACCCGTCTGCTGGGATGTGGGGCAGTGAGGGCACGGGGCGGCATCTGCTCTCGGTGAGCCCCATTCTCCAAGCACAAGTCTTCAGAGCCAAGCCCCAGGGCGTGTGTGCTGATGTGGGGACGAATCGGTACCATCCAGGGAGGTTCCAGCCTAGGTTTTGTTTGGATTCACTGGTCATCTTTCATCAAATGAGCAGAGACATTTGAAGAAGAAAAAATCATCTAGTACAGAAACCTCCAAAATGACAACAGAGAAAAACCTTCCGCCCCAGAATTCTCCCTGATGTGGGCCTGGGGCATGAACAGCTTGGCAGCCGGGTCTCTCGCGGCACTTGTGTGCCCAGCACAGACTCCAGGGGCGAGGTGGGGCGTGGGGGAGCAGCCTTCCCTGCCTGTGAGGGGAGCCAGGGATGACGCTGCAGAGCTCGGGGCCACGGCGTCACTAGTGCCAGCGTCCCCGCTGTCTTGTGTTGGACGCCAGGGGCCATGGGGGCTGCTGCAATGGGCATAAGGGATCAAAAGCCTGAGTGCCTGTGGGAGGGTGACAGGTGACAGGAGCACAGCGTCACCCAGAGAAGCAGGTCTGTGCTCGGGGCTCCGTGACTCAGCGCTCCGAGTGCCACCTGCCTTCTCGACTCTGCCTGTCGGTGCAGCGCAGCGTCTCATTTTCAATCAAGAGCCTGGCACCGACAGAAAGGTGGGGGGGAGGTAGTCTGTGGGCACAGGTCCTGCGTCAGATACTGGCATGTCCCCGCACTAGCACTCAGAGCTTGCCCGCGCTGCCTGACCACTAAGGACCCCCACTGCCCAGGCCCGCTCCGGACACTGCTGTGGTGCCCGCAGGAAGCACAGCAGCGCCGGGGTCCTCCTGCACCATGCCAAACCAGACTGGGGCTGGGCCGGTCCATCGGAAAGGCAGTTATATGGGGTGGGGATCTGGGGTCAAGGGGTATCAGCTGACCCCAGTGAATGGAGGCTCAGGGGACACTGTCTCTGGCTGGTGATGCTCCATGCGGGTGTGCCCCACCGGCACAGGAAGGCTCTGAGCCGGGCTCCTCTCCACACTCCACCCCTGAGGCGGAGGCTAACTGCCCTCACTGAGGAGCTGGTGCTCCCTGTTCTGGCGGGCACCCCTTGCTCGGGACCCCAGAGTGTCAAGTCACAGCGTGCTGCCACTCCCTTTCCGGGCACTCACAGGCGGTGAGGGGCACGACGCCCAGCCAGGCAAAGGCCACGAGGGTGTAGTGGAACCAGTAGCGGATGGCGGTGCCGATACTCGTCACCAGTCCAGCGAAGATGTCCTGGATGGGCAGCCGCGAAGGCATATCCGGGGAGTAAACTGTAAGAGGAAAGAGGCTTGTCAGCCTGGAACAGGCGTGGCCCACCACCACAGTCCTTGCTGTGTTTGACCTGCGGCTTCAGTGCACAAAGCTGCAGTGACCTGAGCAGGTTAAACCAGCCCGGTGGCCAAGAAGCCCTTACAGGGCTCCCCTGGTGGAGTCCACAGCCACCCGCTCTGAGAGGCACGGTCCCCTCAGCCAAGGGCTGTGCACACAGGTTGTGTGCCAGTGACACGCTCTTGGTGGGGCAGAGTGAACACGAGCAGGGGGGTGCTGATCCTGGAAACCCCTGGACGCCCCCGGAGACAGGCCCAGGCTGGGTGGGGCCCTGGAGAAGGTCAGGTCAGCTCAGCTCCCTGGCTCTGCACAGCACGGCGCCCAGCCCTCGGGAAGGGAACGTGATGAACAGCCTCTTCCTCCCCAAAGGAAGCCCTCACAGAGGAGTCGAGAGCCCAGGTTCTCCAAACTGGGGCCCTGGCTCAGGACTGCCCACTGGGCTCTTTCATGCCTGCAAGCCGAGGGCTCCAGCAGACACTTGGCACTACAAGTTACCAAGCTGTGTCACCAGACTTGGAGAACATCAGAGGGAACCAGGGACGTGGCTGCCAAGAGAGAGCAAGTGTGCGACCAACCGCCCGGCCCAGAGCGCTACCCACACGAGGACCTGTCCTGATCTAAGTCAGGAGAGACCCAGCACTAGGCACAGTCTGTCACACCTTCACATCTGGAAGGTCCACGGAAAACTCAGCACCGGCTAAGAAAACAGTTATGTAGCAGAACTGACCTTTTTGAACATAGAGCTGAAGAATAAAAAGCTTTGAAAGTAGAAATAAAAAGTCTTTCAATATTGTACTGTCACTGGTTCAGTGGACTCAGTGTTAGGCTGCTGACTGGAAGGTTGGTGGTTTGAATCAGCCATCTGTCCTGTGGAAACCAGAGGCGACTGGAATGTCTAAGGGTCAGTCTTGGAAAGCCCACAGGGGCAGCACGCCCACAGGGCAGTTCCCCTCTGCTGAGCTGGTCCCTAAGAACTGGAACAGACTCAGAGGCAGTGGGTGGGAAAGAAAAACACTAATCATTTATATTTGCCATAGAAAAACCATCAAAAAGCCACAGATTTACAGTGTTTATACCCAGTAGCTGAGAAAGCTGGTCTTCAGACAGAATACTGTGGCCTCAGGATTGGAGGAAGACCAATAACTGTGATCTGCAGACAACACAACCTTGTTAGCTCCAAGGGAAGAGGATTTCAAGCATCGATACAAATCAAAGACTACAGCCTTCGGCACAAATTACACATCCGTGTAAGGAAACCAAAATTCCTCCCCAGCAGACCAGCAAACAAAACCACAGTCAGCTCAGTGTTCAGCTCAGCAGTCTGCGTTCAGTGTTTAGCTCAGCGCCCAGCTCAGCGCCCAGCATTCTGTGTTCAGCTCAGCGCCCAGCGTTCAGCTCAACGTCGAGCTAAGCGCCCAGCGTTCTGCGTTCAGCTCAGTGCCCAGCGCCCAGCTCAGCGCCCAGCCTTCTGCTCAGTGCCCAGTGTTCAGCTCAGTGCCCAGCGCCCAGCTCAGCGCCCAGCATTGTGTTCAGCTCAGCGCCCAGCGCCCAGCTCAGCGCCCAGCCTTCTGCTCAGTGCCCAGTGTTCAGCTCAACGTCCAGCTCAGCGCCCAGCGTTCAGCTCAGCGCCCAGCGTTCAGCTCAGCGCCCAGCGTTCAGCTCAGTGCCCAGCATTCAGCTCAACGTCCAGCTAAGCGCCCAGCGTTCTGCGTTCAGCTCAGCGCCCAGCATTCAGTGCCCAGCGTTCAGCTCAGCGCCCAGCATTCAGCGCCCAGCGTTGAGCTCAGCGCCCAGCATTCAGCGCCCAGTGTTCAGCTCAGCGCCCAGCATTCAGCGCCCAGTGTTCAGCTCAGTGCCCAGCGGTCAGCGTTCAGCTCAGTGCCCAGCTCAGCGCCCAGCATTCTGCGTTCAGCTCAGCGCCCGGCATTCAGCTCAGTGCCAAGCTCAGTGTCCAGCGTTGAGCTCATCGCCCAGCGGTCAGCGTTGAGCTCAGTGCCCAGCGTTGAGCTCAGCGCCCAGCACTCAGCGGTCAGCAGAGAGAAGCCTGACGCTATCAGGTGTCCGTTTCCTCAGATCCACAATCAGCCCCTATGGAATCAGCAGTCAGGAGGGAAAGACAGCACACAATGAAGAGCTGAGCAGACAGTGACTGACAGCTGTTGTAGGTGCCATGGAGTTGTGTTCAACTCACAGCAACTGATCTGAACGCTGTCCTGTCCTGTGCCATCCGCACACCTCCTGACACACGAGCCCACTGCAGCAGTTACTGTGTCAATCCACTTGGTTGAAGGTCTTCCCCTCCTTCACCAACCCTCCACCCTTCCCTGCATCATGTCCTTCTCCATGGAACAGCCCCTCCCAGCAAGATGCTCAAAGTAAGTGAGGTGAAGCTGGGAAGACAAATATCAAACTAAGTATTACTCTAAATGATAAACCAAATGCTCTATCAGGATTTGAGGGAGGTGCACATACAAGCTGGAACTCCTCCTTAGACAGGTCACAGGAGTCAAGTGCCAAGGCAGACCTTAAGGCGTCTTCACAAGGCTGGGACTGTTTTTGCTAACCCCTCCCTCCTGAGTTAGGCATAAGGTTTTCAATATAAAGAGCCTAGCATCACTGGCACAGAATTTTCTTTGTGATCCGCTCCCTGGGAATTCTCAATGAAGTTACCGAGAAGCTTGGTTCTGGGCTTCAGTCTTTGCCCTGTTCATGCCCTTCCTTTACACTGCCTGGTGTCCCCGTCTCCTCATTCTTGCCTCCAAAGAGCACTCTGGCTGCACCCTCTCCAAGACACACATATTCATCTTCTTGGTTGTCCATGGGCCGTTCAGGGCTCTTCTCCAACACCACAGCCCAAAAGCATCAACTCTTTTTCTGTCATCCTTAGTTATGGTCCAGCTTCCAGATGCACAGCAAGTGATTAAAAAGATCATGGCCTGAAACAGACGCACATTAGTCCCCACGATGACCTCATTATTCCTTAATAATTTGGAGAGGTCACTAACTGCAGATCTTCCCAGTGCAATGAGTCTTATTTTCTGACTGTTGGTACCAAGGGTGTTAACTGTGGATTCACGTAAGATGAAACTGACAGTGTCAGTCTTCTTTTCTCCATCCATCATGATGTTGCCTATAGGTCCAGTGCTAAGAATCTTTGTTTTCTTGAATTGAGACACAACTCGTACCGAAGGCTGTACTCCTTGATCTGCAACAAGTGCTTCAAGCTCTCCTCACATTCAGCAAGTAAGGTTGTCATTTGCATAACACAGCTTACTGATGAGTATCTGTCCAATCCTAATGCTGCATTCCTCTTAATGTTACAAAACAAAAGGTTGGGAGGGACTGGAGATCATTATGCTAAGTGAACTCACTCCCGTGAGGACAAATATTGTATAAGATCATATTGTAGAATGTGTGTGAGGATCTGGGAGGGGAGGGGAGCAGAGGAGTGAGGACTGGGAGGGTAATCATACGGTCACACAACAGGATGGGCGGAAGGAGGGGTGGGTGAAGTAAAAAGGAAAGATCCGGTCTGGAAAAAATGTATATGAACTTTGTAAATACACAACTATAAAACAAACAAGTAAGTGGAAGAATCGGGAAGATTTGTAAACTTTCACTCAAATCACAGTAAAAGAAAAGTTGCCAGACAAATGACTTTTTAGCTCTTTATTGAACATGGAAGGAGGACAGTGTGCTGAAGGGAGACATGGAGCAATGCATCCTGGGCTCTCATCAAACTGTGTGAAAGTGAAGCTGTCGCCTGGAGGAAGAAGGTGTGCCCGGCCCCAGCCATGCCTCGTGGTCATGACATACACAAATGAAAGCCGGACACTGAAGAAGAGAGACCTAGGAAAAACTGACCCTCAACATGATGGCAGACACAGTGACTGCTGCCATGGGCTCAGGGTGTCAGACGGTAAGGGGGGCACAGGACAGGACAGGGCTCAGGTCTGTGGTTCACAGGTCGCCACGTGCCTTTGAAGCGTGATGTGGGGACTATGGACTACACCATGAACTGTCCGAATGAGAGCTGTATCTGGAACAAGAGCAGCCAGCATTCTCCCTGGAGGGCAGGCCAGTGAGCTCTGACCTCACGGATTCGGGGCATGCCATCAGGAGGGGTAGTTTCAGGGGATGGACACCAGGCTTGGAAATGTGCAAGAGGACGCCAAAGCGGAAGGCCTCACAGGAGAGAGAGACACACTGTCGTGACAACAGACTCAAATACACCAGTGGCCCGAGGCGCTGGGGGCCAGCCGGCCTTTCCCTCTGCTATAGCCACCAAGGCCCAGGCAAGCTCGAAACCAAACAACCAACAACAGTGCAAGATGCTCAAAGGTCCTCAGAAAGACGAGACAGAAAACCTCGGACGGAGGGAGACAGCCTCGGAGGCCAGCAGGAAAAAGCAGCCTCAACTTCTTTTACCAGGGGAGTCCTCAGTTATTTATGATAAAAAATAATACACATCACTCTATAAGCAAAGGAGTTGTAGATATAACTAAAGTGTAAAAAAGCCTATAAAATATCTATATTTCCCACAGAAAATCTTGACTTTTCATTTGAAAAGGTGACTTCTCACCTGTTCTACTGTCTACTCAGAAGTGGCTCAGAGGGAGCAGGTCCTCAGAGCCGGTCAGTCACACAGAAGAGACTGCATGTCTTCCCCCGGGAGGCAGTTGGCAGATTCCTCTACTGCCTGTGGGCTGGCAGGCAAGTCCTTTCCAGGAAACCACCAGAGCTCCCTGGTTCCTACTAAGGAGCTCTCTCAAATACACACAGGGGCTGGGTATGTGATGACTTAAAACAGATTTTTTTTTATTAAAATTTTTAATTATTATTAATTTTTATGCGTGTACTGTCAAATCAGATCTGACTGGTACAGGAGGAGATTGTCTCGCCTTCAGCAGAGCATCTGGTGGATTTGAACCGTGTACCTCTGAGATTGCAGTGCAGCTTCTTGCCAGTAGGCCACCAGAGCTCACCGAGCAGATATTTTTTTAAATAACCCTTATGTCTTAGAGATAGATATGGAAATATATCCTGCAGCTGCCACACAGCGGGAGAGGCTGGGCCCAGGGAGGAAGAGGCTTTCAGAACAAAAAGGAACGAGAAGCAGGCGCGCTGCCTCGAGTGTGTATGTGAAGTCGCGTGGCCACAGGGCCGACGTTCCCAACACTGGACCTCAGAGCAGACGCTGCTGTGTCCTTCTCCTAAGGAACAGGCGGAGGCTCGCAAGCACAGCCTTTTCACGTGCAGCACAGACGTAGCCAGACATACGGTTTCTAAAACACTTCTCCAGAATGGACTACTAAGACTTTCCTTTACTACAAAAGACTCGCATGTTGAAAGGATTTGCTTTGAAATTCCTGATTCACTTCTCTCTACACTACAAGTTATAACCAAGAAACCAGCCAAATGAAGTGCAGTGAACACTTCTAAGGAACTTACTTGGTGTGAAAGCAAATCTGTGTTTGCAGAGTTCACAGTATTCTTTCCGACTGTGCTTCAGCCACTGAACTAAGCTGTAAAGACAGAGACACGTGTGAGGACAGACACAGCTCAGGGCTCGCTGGTCCTGTGGAGAACTTCACAGAGATCTAACAATGGGGAAACTTCCCATTTACGACAGTACCTATTTCTGACTCATGACGGGCAGACAACGACAAGAGCTGAGGAGGAAAGCCAAGAGAGCTCGCCTCCCAGGGCTTCTCCTGTCCCAGCACCAGCGTCAGCAGAAGGGGACTCAGGGCTGGCGTCCACTCTGTGCCCTCTGGCTGTCCCACCTGCAGCACATTTCCTTCTCCACCCTCAGCCTTCCTGGGAGTCTAAATCACTGTGAGCACGTACAGCTCACTGAGCACGGGTCCTGGCACATGGTCTTTCAGGGAGAAGCTCTGATGGGCCAGCACCGAGGGAAGTCCAGCCCCCGAGACGGTGAACCACTACTCCCTGCCCTGCCCTGTGTATGGGACAAGGGCCATCCCAGGGCACCTGGAGGACAGCCGACCATGGAGGCACACGGCCAGCTGCATTCTCCCAATCTGACCCCCAAGGAGGATCAATGCCTCAGCTCTCTGACTACAAGCTCAGGTGTGGCCAGGTTCTGAAAGGACTACTCACCATTCTTGATGGATGAACTTAATACTGCCAGTACACACACACGGGTGGTACAGGGGCTTCTCCGGGGTCCCTTCTGAACGGCATACTCGACAGATGTCTGTGAGTTAAAACAAAACACAGCACAACACAACTACTTGGTTATCCTGCTTTTTTAAAACAAGAGACTAACAGAAACTCCAGCAGAGTGTTTAACAGACAGGAGCTCCCATTTGGCAATGCCCATCAACAGCAATGGTGCATCTGCTGCCTATGGGTCCTGGGCTCCGCTGTGGGGCCACAGCGGGCAGTGCCCAGGCCTGTGCCAGCCACTCTCTGCCGTCTGAGCTGCCATGGGGTCAACAGTACCAGAACTGAAGGCTGACTGAGGTGGCACAGAGCAAATGCTCGAGAAGACCAGAATGTTTCCCCAACAGTGCAGTCACCACTCTGCACAATTCAAAGGTGAACGACAGCCTGCCTCGGATTTCAACAGCAGCCTCCAGCCCAACGCCCGCTGCACACAGCCGGGCTCCAACAGGACTCCCCACGTACCACAGGGGACTTCAGCAGTGGCCAACACTGAAGGACCTCGTGGGCAGACACAGGGAAGGCACGGCTCAGCCAAGTGAAGGGGGACCCTCTGATGAAACGGCCGCATGCCTCACCCCGTGTTCTCCCAGAGGGCAGCTCTCCAGCCACCTGGCTGTCCCCCACCCAACCGTCCATACACCACTGAGGGTGTGACACGCAGGGCAGAGACGACACCAACACCACCCTGTGCTCCACCCCAGAACCTCTGCATTACTTGGCCATCTTCTCTGCTGTCCTTGGGGACCCTGGTGGACCCCACTGGCTGACCGGCAGTGAGCACAAGCCAAGGAATCCATGAAGCCTCTGTCAATGCGCAGGAAGGGGTCCAGGGGCACCAAGTCCACTACGTCCTCAGAGACACCAGATGCAGGGGCCGGAGTGTACCCAGACTCTGCCTCTATCAGGAAGGGGTACTGGAACTGCAGAGCCACGCATGGCCTTGAAGCTCCCAGTGGTGGTGCCTGGCACAGTAGGTGAGATTCCTGACCAGCCCTCGCTGGACAGCAGGAGAGGCGCCGGGAGCACACAGGCCACCACGTCACAGGACCTGGTGGCACTGGTCGACGTGGTAGGGGGTCTGCCCCCCGTGCAGCGGAACCACTGCGTCCTCGCTCTCAGGAGCAACTGGGGGTGAACCCTGGACCTGGGTTTCAGAGGAGCCACTGTCTAACAGGAAGGAGTCCAAATGCACCCAGACAGTGGTGCTGGGCGCTGTGTTCCAGGCACGGGCTTCCCCTGACAGGAGGGAGTCCGGGACCACCGGAACCACTGCGTCCCAAGTGTCCCCGGCAGCGCCCAGCAATGTGGCAGGAGCTCTCTGCGAGCCTTGGCCCAGTAACAGGGGCGGGTCTGGTCGCACAGGGACCACTGCGTCCCCGGTCTGTGTGGCAGGAGCTGTGCATGCAGAGCTGTCTCCACCCAATAACAAGAGAGGGTCCGGGTACACAGGGACCACCGCGTCCTGGCTATGGGCAGCAACAGGCAGCGTAGTGGGGCCTCCTGGCACAGGGCTGCCTCCGCTCACCAACAGGTGGGGATCTGGGCGCACCAGGACCGCCGCATCCCGGGTTCCCCCAGCATCAGGCGGTGTGGCTCCCAGAGAGTCTCTGCCTGAGTAAAGGGTCCGGCCTTGGATCCTAGCAGCAGCCTGCAGTGTGGCCCCGGCAGGAGCTCCGCACGAAGACCTTTCCCGGCTCACTAACAGAAGCGGGTCTGGGCACACAGGGACCACAGCGTCTCCAGTCCCCACAGAGGTACAGGGCAGCGTGGAGGGGAACGCGCACCAGCGTCCACCCACTAACAGGTGTCGGTACTGCACCGGGACCACAGCAGCGACAGGTCTGCCCGCTAACAGGAGAGGGCTCGGGGGCACAGAGGCCACTAGGCCCGGGACCCCAGCGGCATGGTGGACTGGGTCCGCTAACAGGAAGGGGTCAGGGGACACAGGGACCACTGAGTCCTGGATCGCTGCGCTGTGCTGTGCGCCCCAAGCAGTCGTTCCAGGCAAAACTTCGCTCGCTAACAGGAAGGGGTCAGGGTGCACCGGGACCACCGCGTCCCGGGTCCTCGAGGCTCCACGTTGCGTACCCGAGGCAGTGGCTGCACGCGCACCTCCACCCACTAACAGCAAGGGCTCCGCGTGCGCCGGGACCACCGCGTCCACCACGTCCCGGACCTCTGCAGCGCGGCCGCTCGACAGGTATCCGCTAACTGGACGGAGCCTCGGCGAATGGGGAACTCTGCGTCCAGGCTCCCAGTGGCCACGCATCGGGGTGGCGCGCAGCCTACACTACAGACGTGAAACTGCGCACTCGAGGGCGGAGTCTCCCTCTAAGAAGCCCGCTTAACCAGGAGCGCGCCAGTCTCCCAGGTGATCAGTTAACCGGACCGGTCCTTGCAGCACCCCAGGAACACTCCGCAGGGAGACCCAGCCCTGGCCGCCCCGCCCCCGGCCGCCGCCCCGCCCCCGGCCACACCCCGCGGATCCCTTCCTGGTTAGCAGCGGTCTTCCCCTCGGTCCGGTCCGTCCGAGGTGCTGCAGCTCGCGATCTGCGCCCAGCCGCGCCTCCAGCCACCTCGCAGGTCGCACTGGGACGCCCCGTTGCTAACCCGCGCTCTGCGCCAGCTCCGGGTTGTGTCTGTTCGCCTCGGGGACGGCACGGCACCGAGGCCAGGTGAGCGGAGGCCAGGTGACCACGCCCAGGTCTGATGACCACGCAGAGGCCCGGTGACCGCTCACCCGGATCCAGCGAGGGGGCTTGAACTGCTGCGAAATCCGCTTGCTGTGGCACGTGGGGCACCCCATGGTCGGCATGCGCCACCCGTGCCTGTTTCGTGTGCCCGGGAGAAGAATCCATTCTCCCCAGATGCTCGCTGTGGCGGCCGAATGGCCACCTGAGGCTAACCCGTCCCTGGTGCTGCTGCAGACACCATCACCCAGGTAGGGGCGCGGGCAGAGGACTAGCGCTCAGCCTGAGATGGGAAGGGGGTTCAGAGAAGGGAGTGGTACAGGGAGACTGGGGGCGAAGTCCTGGACACACGTGCCGTGGGCCCACGTCCCTTTCCTGCTACGGGGACACCGGGTGAGTGGAGAGGCATCCATGGGAGAACTGCGCCCTCTCTTTCCAGTGGGACCACCTAGCCTGGGTGAGGGCAAGAGGGGGGATGTCTCTGCACACTTTGGGATGGAGCAGGGAAAGAGTGGGATGAGGGGACCCAGACATCCAGTTTACGGCCACTTGGGGGTAGGAGGTGCTGAGTCAAGGGTCTCTGGAGCACCCTCCCAGCCTCACCTGGAGCAAGGATACCCCAGCCCATGGGGGGCAGAGGGGAGGGGTACCCCTGGGAGCTGCAGCCCGAGCCAGGGGGCTGAGTACCCCTGCGTGCTACAGCTCACACTGGGCAGCTCACATGGGGTGGGGGTAGCCCCTGCGCCAGGCAGCCCACGTCGGGAAGCTGGGTACCCCTGCGTGCTGCAGCTCACACCGAGCAGGTGCCCCTAGACTGTGCAGCTCGCATGGGGTGAGGGGTGCTCCTGAGTCCAGCAACTGGCCAGGCATCCGTGGTCAGCACAGCTCTCCTTCACCTCCAAGCTGGCCTGCTGGTCCTCCACTTGCAGAGGGGTGAGCCCAGCAGCCCAGCACAAGTCTGGGTTCTAGGGGAAGCCCCTGCCTCCCAGACCATGGGTGATTCACAAGCATGTAGTGGCAGCTGTCCCCACCAGGTCTGAGGCTGGACTGTACTTTTCAGGAACGTGTTAAGGGGAGTGCGTCTTCTGATCTGGCAAAGGAAAGCTCTGAGCCCAGCCCTTCCACACAGGCCTCCTAGCTCTGGGGACATGCTGGGACTTCATTATGCTGAATGCATAGCTAGTACTGGATGTGGACAGGCCGGTCTGCAGGTGGACCATCCGGGGGGCTGCAGGGACCAGGCCCCAGGAGTCAGAGCCCCCGCCTCCCTCAGCTGCTGGGGCCTGGCCCTATGCACCCGTGTGTGCCAGGTGAGTCAGCTAAGGACCGCGTGTGGCATCTGCTTCTGTGACTGTATCACAAGGAGAATGCCGTCCAGCTTCAGCAGGCTGTCGTGGGCCAGCTTTATCACCCTGTCAGACCCCTGTCTGTCAGCACCTTCTCGTGGGTACTTGAGTCCTGTCGGCCCTCTGGCTACCGTGACTGCTGTGCAGTGAACACTGGGGCATGGGCCTGCGTGCATCCCTGCGTCCACACTCCTTGGACCATTCCTTTCCATGGCTCATGAGAACCAGAGAATGGATACAGTTCTCCTCCAAATAAGTATACAAAGCTTCTCTCTTCTCGGGGCTTCACAAACCTCCAGGCTAAAAAGGGAACTGGACTTTCCATCCATCTCAGAACCATGGACATCCCTACACAGCTGAGACAGAATCCCATCAGAATGAACAAGGGCAATCCTGAAGGCCAACAGGAATCAAACTCAGGGGTGTCCTGAACCTCAGAGAGCTAGAAATGGTGACTGTACTCCACAGGGCTTCCATCCGGAGTCAGAGGACTGCAAGGAAATCCTAAACAAATTCATCATGCTGAGAGCGGTAGAAGTGAACCCTTATAAAAGAGCAAGTGTGCAGTAACAGTGACAGGATGTATAGAGGAAATGATCCCTATCTGGAGTCTTCCCTAAAGAGACGGGGTGGTAAAGAGGGAAAAAAAGGTCTTATGACCCAACGGAGCGTGGAAATTATCAAACAGTATCATTAATATCACATGCAAGCAAGATGCTGCTGAAAATTATCCAAAAACGTTTGGAACAATAAGTCAACAGAGAACTGCCAGATGTACAGGCTGGATTTAGAAGAGGTCGTGGTATTAGGGATATTGTAGCTGATGTTAGATGGATCTTGGCAGAAAGCAGAGAATACCAGAAGAATGTCTATCTGTGCTTCATTGACTATGCAAAGGCTTT